ATAGATAAGGTGTTGCATAGTTAAAATTGTCAAAAATGTATTCAAGTATTGACTTTTATACATGTTAAATTTAGTAAGCAGATTTATTAAAAACTGACATAAAAAAGCATTCCGAAAGAAAATGAATTTATTTTTGGCTTAGTTAGGAGTTTTTGAGACTTGGATTTGTCAAAAAAAATTGAAAATAGTTTAATCATAGTAATGATTGATTTTCAATTCGATCCTATGCTAAGTTCATGGGTATATTAACTGCGGCTTCCCAAAGTTAGTTTCTTGCTGAAACTTTATTTAATCTAAATGATTACCTGAAAATTTGTATATTCAAAGTTCGTTTTATAAAAATTTAAGTAGTTCCCATTACAAAAATAAATTCCTAGAGACTCAATCCACAACTAATTTATAACAAATTATATTTATAATCCCTTTAAACAAGTACAAATACTTCACTGAACAACTCCCCCCAAGAAAGAGTATTCCGATGCGGGTCCCACACTCCATTTTTCCTTTTATTTCGGAAGGAGGGGGGCACCATGAGGCATAAAGCACTTGAAATTGGTCGAGTGTCTGGGGCAAGTTGGGCCCGGGGGCCGCGGGGGTTGGGCAAACCCTGCCCCAACTTATCTTTAAGCCACGCGCTAATTTGAAAATAATGCTCCCCAATCATTTTCACATTTTTTCACATTTCCAGGCGGCTTCAGGTTTAGCCTTCTTCACGATCGCCGCGGAGTGAGCAATAAAAGTTTTTGGCAGAGAAGCCCCCTCTTACCCCTTAGCTTGCCTTGTGGCTGGCGGCCCTCCCACTTGTTGATTGTCTGTATAATTACATAATATTGCATAATTTTGCAAAAAGTACTCGGTCGCTTTGGGATTTCTGCTCTGTTAGCTACGTAGAGTCTCGGAAACTCAAAGTCTCCGGAGTCTCAGAGTCTCTGGGCTTTGGTCTGGGGTCTCATTATCGTCGGCTGACCGACGATCTTCTTCGTTTTCGCTTTCAGTATCAGTGCACAATGTAGTACTTAAATAATAGAAGTTTAATAGCGTTTTGTTTTCTGCCGGCCGCATTTGCAAGTCGTTAGTTGCTGCTGCCGCTTCTACCGGAGTTTTGCTAGTGTTTTTTTGTGCCTTTTTTGCTATTCGTTTTTTTTGGACTACTAATGCATTCAGCTGTAGGATTTTTGTCAAGGTTATCCAGTTGGTTGTGTGTTAGCGGATATAATGACATGATGCATATACGATGGAAGCCAAAGTCAGCATCAATTTCGGTTCTTCTTGTTTGGATTTTTGCTTTTTTTCGGGAGGAAGTTCAGTTTTAAGAGCATTGTAATTGTGTGTAGTTCGTTCAAGTTCGCTGCCTAAGTCATTTGGCAAGAGCCTAACGAACTCTGCAGAACTTTTTACAGGCAACGTTCTCGATGGGCCTTTGGGCCTTCTCTCTCCCAGTCCTGGCTAATTTCGCTCATTAATCATCGGGGCAGCGGAAGAAAATCGCTCCGAAAACTGATTACACATGTACGGCCCACCAAATCAAAGCCCAGCAAACATGAAGTCATCTGTTCATCTGTTCATCTGTTCATCAGTTCCCTGCCGGTGAAATGTATCTGCAAACAAATGAAGTTGTCTGTCTAAGGCCTCTCTCGGGACTCGGCTAGTAGAGTCATCAAGTCCAGGATTGATCATTGATCTTTTGGCACTCAATCCTCCGCCATCCGCTCCTCAGCTCACGAATTATAAATAGTGCAAATGCGTGCAGTGCATCATCATCATTAGTTTTCGGCCAACAAAAAGGAGAGAAACCTTGGCAATAGACTTGTCTAGAGCCCCCCCGCTACACCCTTTGGCCAAAAGCCTAGAACTCGGTCTATGGCAATTATACGAATCCATGTATCTGTCTTTAGGTTCGTTTGCTAAATTGTTTCAATTTGTTTTAAGCCAGGCATAACTATCACTTGCTGTGGGTACTATTCCACTTCAATTGGGTTTGTTTTAAATATAAATTTCAATTTAATTTAATTTTTTAAGTTGAATATTTAACCTTAAGTAACAAAAATAGAGTCTGAACTTAAATTGATTACGTCGAAATGTATTTACATTTTTAACATCTATATTTCCCAAAAATCACTATAAAGCTTGTAATATATTTCCAAAAAAAAAACATAAACTTTACATAATTTAAATGTTTTAATACCTAATTTTCAATTAAGAAATATATTTTAATTATTATTATTATTATTATTATTATTTTGCATCAAAGCAAATCCACACGAAAGGGCATCTACAATTTCCCATTGAAACCCGCCAATGACTGCATATCAAGTTCGTGTCCTAAGTCTTTCGTTTCGTTTCGTTACGTTTTTCGCTTCAAGTCAGGCATTTTCTAATTGCAAGTTAATTTCTTGTTGCGAACATAAATTTAACATTCTAATTGAGTTATCAACCGCAACATGTACATACACATGCCAAAAAAAAGAGCACAGAGACGAGGATGAGGATGAGGTAAAACAAGTAGGAGATGTAGGAGAAGGAGATGCCGACACCGGGACCACTTTTACAGCTTCCCATCTCATCGTCGTCGTCCTCTAAGCGTGTTCGCTTCCAAAACTGGCTACGCATGTGAAAAATGGCTTACACATGGAGCCAAGAGTTTTTCCTCTCCGCCTGGCCACTTTTCCGACCACGAAAAATTGCAACAAAAGCCACAAGAGAGTACAGTAATTACATTTCGGTGTGTGTGTGTTTGTGCAAGATTTTGGGCTCTTGCTAATTTGCCTGCTGCTTCTGTTTTCCTTACTTAGTTTTTTGGGCATTTATAACTAATTTTTGTTGTTTGTTTGCCACTGCAACTGCCGCTGCTGTTTGAAAGAATTTTCCAACGTGAAAATATGCACTTTGGCATGGCTCGTAATTAATTTACTTTGTGTGTTTGCCCGCTGGCAGCCGCAAAGGAGAACGACACACACGAAAATATGAAAAAAATCCATTACGCAAATGTTTATGACCAAAATGGTCAGCAGCAGTCGAAGAAGCCGAAGAAGCCGAAGAAGCCATGGCAGCAGCAGCAGCAGCAGCCTCTTCATCTGCTGCCAATGCAAATAGAAAAGATTTGCCAAAGCCCCCTAGATGCGTGTGCCCCAAAAGTCGGACCGAAGTTGGTAGAAGATGGGAACCCGGGTCTCGGTCCCACCATCAGGTGAGCTTCTCTCACATACATCACAACATTGTAATGCATTTTCAGGCGGCTCCGCCTGCCTCCCAGCCTCCCAGCCCCTCTGCCTCTCTGCCTCCCCCCTCTGCTGGAAAATTAGTTTTCTTTTTCCGCAGCGTCGTGTCATCAACGGGATTTCGGAGGCGTGATTGTATCGAAGGTCGTGGCAATATGGACATGTAGCAAGAACATTAAAAAAGAAGCCCCATACATTTATGGCCAGCTAATGCAGATTTGTGTATCTTTTGCTGGGTTCTCATTAGATGGCAAATAACTATCTTTTGGGTTTAAGTTTATAGGGTTTTAATACTTTAAAGATGTAAGAAATGCAGGAAAGAATTTCTACAATTAATTCTGCTCCAAATTTATTAATGACTCTTTCTTAATCCCCATGCAATATAGTAACTTGATCCGCCTCGTTTTGGTGTATATTTTATATTAATTGGAATTTATTTTTATTCGTTTCTAATATGCATAAATAATGATGGCTATTCAGAAATTTGATGCCATTTTTTTCCGATATTTTTGACAAAGCATAAGTTTGAATTCATTAATATTATTTTCCAATATTCATAAATAACTAAAGTATCGATTTCATGTTTTCCCCAATATTTCAATAAACTACAATTTTGAGACCAATTGAAAGAATAATTTAATTAGAATTCCTACTCCTTGTGCTTCTGTTTGATGATGGAATTCCTTAGCAGCTCTTAACTTGTTTCATATTCATAAATTTATTGACTAATGCTACCAACTTGCCGTAGCGACATCTTCAGAAATGTGGCCCAAATTCGAGACGCTGTTTGTTGCCTTCATTTTAATCAAACATTTAGTTTATCGTCTCACATTTCAGCTAATTAACACTACCTCGGGACCGCCTCTTTTGGCTCTGTGACTTGGCTTATGCTTTTGGCCTGGCTTTTGGCTTAGCCTCAGCTTGAGATTCAGCCTCACAGCTTCAGAGTCTCTTTTCTGCCGGCATTCGACTGATCGACTAAACGAAAATCAGCTTAAAATCATAAAAAACGCACTTAAATAAAATTTAATATTCAAATATTGACATTTAGTGCCATGTTAGCAGCAACTTAGGTGTTTTCTTCGTCTCCAATATTTCGGAGGCTGCCCTCCTCCTTCTCCCAGACAGATAGACAGACAATAAGCCTTAAATTATGCATGTGGATTGCTTTGGGAGGGAGAAGACGCAATTCGCTTAGCATTAACTAATTGATCTGCATTAATTTCAGGTCGAAATCGAAGACAAAAGACTTGAGCAGGTGAGTCTTGGGAGGGAATACTTGTCGTAGTTTCGTATTTGTGTATTATGATTATTATGAGTTTTATTTTTTCTTCTTCTCTCCTATTTAAATTATGACATCATTTAAATATTTTCGCCGTTGTTAGCCAGATTTCTGTGTAAACTGGTTTAGGCTACACACACAATTTTCGTCGCTGTCTTTCAGTCTTTCTGTCGCATTGTGTTAATGTTGTTGTTGTTATCATATTTGCTGGGCAATTATGCATGCCCCCAAACCCCAAACCCCATAATTCATAAATTCATTTTTTTTGCGCCCATATTCGAAAATGCGGAAGCGCTTTGATTTGCTGATGCTTTTTTGGGGCCATATCATACATACATATGTTATCAGTGTCGGCAAAAATTGTCTTGCCCTCATCATATGTCGCATATAAAATTATTATTGTCGTAAAATTTTTTACGACTTTGCTCAATATTTGGCTCGTAAAATATATATATATTTTTTGTTGTTTTAAAATCTGTATAAAATTCGAGTTTGCTTACCGCATATGGATTATCCTGGTTCATCATTATGGAAATCTGGGTTCGCTGAGCTTCGAGTGCTCAAACGGCAAGGTCTGTAAGAGGAAATAAATGGGTTAGAGTTACTTCATATATATTTAATATACAATTTTCCACACAGTATTTAATCTAGCTCTTTAGAGACATTTTCCATGCCTGCATGTTCTACTTGAACTTATTTATATTCCCCACAAACATCTTTTATTGTTGCTACAAAGGAAAAAACCTTCTAGCCAATAGATATTTATCGATTCTTTTATGATAACCATAATTTGTTATGAACTGATCTTGAACCGCACACATTTAATCGAGTGCTTTTCATAGGAGATTCTACTTGAAGATCCGCTCCAAATCAGCATTGACTTTCTGACATTTAGATCGCTTTACGCTGCCAGCTAATAATAATAATAATAATAGCAAATAGCAAATAATATATAACGATTTTTTGTTACAACGAATCTGCTTAGCTGCACCTAAAAAGCATCCGTTGAATCAACATAACAATCTGTTGGCTCACATCTCGCAGAGAACAGAGAACAGAACCCCCCTTCCATGGAACGTGAGTCACCGAGACACACTCCTGGCCAAAAAGCGGCTGAAGACTCGGCCAGGTTAGGATCCCCGCAAAACGAGATGGCATGTTAACTGACAACAGGTGTTTTCTGCGGCCTGCTTGCCACATTTGCATTTGATATTTTGTACGCTTGTTTTTGCTGCCACTGTTAACGCGTCCGTACTAAATACTTTCACACTCAGACCCCTTTCCCCTACTCTGCGGCTCTCCTTTCGCAGCGATTGTTGTCTTCCGGCCTCGGACCCCTTAAGGATGTTTAAGTCAGCACACGACCTTGATGTGTTAATTTCCCAGACAACTCTGGAACGTCATCCGTCCAGGTACACTTTTAAAAAAGAGATCCGGATTACATGCATTCATAAGTCCTCAGATTTATCAAGTATTTGTTATTTAAATATTATCGTACTTTAAGTATATGTTTTTTAGAAAACTATGTACAGAATTTTACTTATAAATCAATGAGTTGATGTGAATAGTTGGTAGAAGAAGTACTTGCGTGTTACCATATACTAGAAGTTTAGGCAGTAATCATTAAGCTAACTTGTAAATTATTAGTTCATCTCATGTGATCTGCCTATTCTATTGTATCACATTTATTAATAGTTCAATTTTTATTATTGTTTGATTATATATTCATAGATTCATTGATATACCTGACCGATAATTGAATAGATTGCTAGTATTTCAGGATTTTGAGCTTAAGGATAAGAAAGATCATCATCTCATTTGAATAAAAACTTTTACTCCCAGTGTCCTGGTATAAAGGAAAGGGGCCTGTAAAAAAGGCTTGGGCTGTGATCTCGAAAGGTGCTAGTAAAAAACAAAATAAAAACAACCTGTAAAGATGATTGTCTGCCCCAAGTATAACTAGAATAAGTGCACACTTGTCGGGTTGTAGAACACAGCAAACTTACAAGGCACTCGCCACAAGTACGAGTATATGGGCTCTGTCAATATTTGCGACACATGCAAAGGCAATTCAAGTTAGATTCTTCATTGGCCTGCAAGCGAGTCCAAGTTAAATGCACTATCAGAAAAACTATCTCTCTAAAGAATGATCAATAGTTTTGAAACTAATATATTTTTATTGCCTGTGAAGTTATTTTCAAAAGAATATACAGGAAATTTAATGCTAATTACATCCAACCCTATAATTCTTAAGCATTTGTTTACTTTATTGAAATGAAATAGTTCAATAGTTTAGAAACTAATATATTTTTATTGCCTGTGAAGTTATTTTCAAAAGGAAATATACTGCAAATTAAAGTCTCATTGATTAAATCAAACCCCATAATTCTTAAGCATTTGTTTACTTTATTGAAATGAAATAATTCAATATTTCAATAGTTTTGAAACTAATATAATTTTATTGCCTGTGAAGTTATTTTCAAAAGAATATACAGGAAATTTAATGCTAATTACATCCAACCCTATAATTCTTAAGCATTTGTTTACTTTATTGAAATGAAATAATTTAATATTTCAATAGTTTAGAAACTAATATATTTTTATTGCCTGTGAAGTTATTTTCAAAAGGAAATATACTGCAAATTAAAGTCTCATTGATTAAATCAAACCCCATAATTCTTAAGCATTTGTTTACTTTATTGAAATGAAATAATAATAACCTTTGATTATCATTGTTCTTTAGGCTTCGGATCTATATTGTAAATTATTCAGGGATATAAAGTTTGCGTTTTCTGTAATTGTTTATTAATAAATCAAATCGCGGTCATGATGTTAATGAATGACTTGAGGACTTTTATATAGTGAGATGATCTTTAAATTATATTCCTTCCTCTATTAATTTCGTTCAGTGTTTGTTGGCTAAGGCCATTCCCATGGATCTTGGTTGCTTTTTGGATTTTTGTAACAAAAATATTCTGGCAAATAAAGCTTTACACGCTATTTGCATTATAAAGTAAACATGTAAGCGGCGACTATATGGTGTCTATATCTCGCTCGCACTTGACTTACATTGATTCTGTTATATAGTCGTAAAGTTTATTTGCCCTGCCCTTGCTCTGGCTGTTGTTGCTGTTGTTGCTATTGCCTGTTGATCTAGCCATGTTTTATGGCCACACTAAAAAGTGCACTGGTCAACAAAAGCGGCGAGAGAAAACTTTCTCACAAAGGCTTAAATGAAGGTGTGTGTGTGTGTCTATATGGTCTGTATAATTAAATCATACAAAAGCGCGACAGTCGCAGACAGTTCGTCAGTTAGTCGGATTGTCAAGCGTTTATCTGGCATCGCCATCTTCCTTTTGATTTTTCTGTTGCTTTTGTTTTTTATGAATTCTATTCGTTAATGAAATTCACATGTTCCCCAACTCGGTGACTCTCCTCCGGCTCCCCATTTTTATGTTCGCATGATGGATGTGTCTCGAAGAAGCCGAAACGATCGTTCCGTTTCAACCTTTTCTCTGGTGACCCCTTGAACTCACCTCCTTTTACTGGCCTTATCAGACCCTCCAAGTTAATCCAATTAATTTGTTGGCTTAAAGTTTCTGGTTTCACTTGCGATTTTAGTATGAAAATCATTTAGGGTTGGCTATTCCCAACATTCTGAACTTTCCTACGTTGTTTTCCTATTTTGATTTTTGTTTTTGTTTTATATTTTCGTGTTTCGTTCACCTTGCGCCAATAAAACGTCACTTGAGCGTTTAGAGTTGTTGTTGTTGTGGCTTTTGCTTAAATTGCACTTGACTTTTAGAACTTTAGGCGAGCGTGAAGCATGTTTAATATATATCTGGCCATATATCTGCGGGTTTATCTGAGCGAGTGTGTGTGTGTGTGGGGGAAATATCACAAGTGAGTGAGTGAGTGGAAAACATGAGCTTAAATTTGGCTTGGGAATATTATAATATTATAATTTTGCCTAAAGTTTATCGTTTCATTTACTTTGATTTACTTTGTTTTATCAACTAATTAATTAGGATATTTATTAGCAGTTTGTTTTTAGTGGATTAGAGCACACCTTTGTGTGCGATATCTTCCGCCTTTCACTGGTTTACAATTTGTATTTTTGTTTGTTTCTATTAGCTCAGTAATTTATGTAACGTAATGGTAATCATTTCTTTTATTTTATTGCAATTATTTAGGGCATTTTTTGGGGCTAGTTAGTTTGTTTGTTGTTTTCTTTTAGCGGCGGCACACACACAAGTAGCGAGAGCAACCGAAACAGCGACAGCGACGACGTGCGATCGAGCGTGCGAGCAAGAAGCGCGAGCTATCACTAAAGACTGATGTTAAGCGGTTCTGCAAAATGCTCAGACCTCTGCGGATCGCGACTCGCGGATCGCGGCTTGCGGCTGGCGGCTGGCTGGCAGCTTGCTCGGATATTCGGATTCGGATACGTACTCCGACTCCGACTCGGACTCGGACTCGGACTCAGACCCAGATGCTTGGCAATATCATCCGAATCGGACGAGCGAACGAGCGACGAGCACAGCAGCAGCAGCAGCAGCAGCAGCTGGAAAGCAGCGCAGAAAACAGCAACAACAGTGAGGCTCGGTAGCAAACTGAGCTGGAACTTCGGAGCTACCACACAGAGACGTTCCCAGTCGTTGCCAGCAGCAGCAGCGGCGGCAGCAGCAACAACAACACCAACAACAGACTGTGGAGATGATACTACTATAAACAAAAACTACAAACTGGTCGCAGCAGTAGTAGATGGGTAGGAAGAAGAAGCAGTAAGAAAAACAAAAGACTGCAAAAGCGACAAACTTGACTCGAGTGCTTCTCTGCCTGTGTGTGCGCGCGTGCGCATGCATGTGTGTTTGTGAGGAAGAAGATTCTCTCTAACGGTTGATATCCATGTACACTCGCAACCCCAGTGAGCAAGAGAGATAGAGAGACAGGGAGAGATAGAGAGAGTGAGTCTGAGAGCCGGCTTGAGTGAGCCACGGTTTTGAGTGATGTTAAGGCTTTACAGAGCCCGATTGAGGCTTTGAGTCACATTTGAGTCGGGTTTTCTGATGGTTATATATATTTAACTCGGTTTTTTCATTTTTCTTATGAGCTGAGAAGTTTTAAACCAACTCTGGGGTATTTTTATTGGAAGTTAATTCCTGGTTTAAGGATTTTTTAAATGAGTTTTTGGGATGAAATGTTTAAAATTTATATTTCAGTAAGGTTTTTAGAGGTTTTAATTAAAATAAAATACAATTTAAATCATACCAAGCCTGATTATCTTCAATGAGTTACTTTTTTAAGCCTGTAATCTATTTTTGTACATTATAAAAGCAATATAAATCAATTATTTTTGATATTTGTAAAACTGTTTACTTAGTTCAGAACTTAAAGGTCCATTAAATAGAGAAATTTATATAAAGAAATTGTGAACACTAAGCAAAGTACTCATTTCTATTCATATTTACAAGGTTTAAGAGGTATTTTGTGGAGTTTCAACCTTAAATATTGTTTTAAAAATGGTTTCAAGTTAATGAAAATTAAAATTAGTGTTTTAAAATACTTTTAAAATATATTTTCTTTAATAAAATCCTTATTTTAAATATTATATAAATATGGTTACCTATAAATTCATCGATTTTAAAACTGCCTACTCAATCCTAACTCACATTTTTTGTATTCGCTCTCTCACCATTTTGTGTAGCATTTGAGTGTTTCACTCATATTGCATACACACACATACACTCAATTGGGAGCTGCTTTGGGAATTCGTTACCACATTTGATTGGCTCGATTAACACAATCGGAGCACCGTTATAACCAGTATAACCAACTCACTCGTTCACACCGATGGCTCTGGGAGAGCAGCGAGTGTAACAGTATTCGGTCAGCGAGAGCGGAACACACCAACACCATAGCACAAAGTGATCGTGCTCCAGTCGTCGTCGGGTGTTATAGTTAAACGATCCGATCCCGTTTGCCGTGGGCGAAAACGAGACCGGACTATATGGCCATCGCCTATATGCTATATACAACCGGCACACATATATGTTCTCGTTTCGCTGACCAATGCAGAGCAGCTGGGCGAGAGGCACCCATACGAACGAGAGCGATCAATGAGAGCGATCGCTCCACACAGACGCATTCATCGAAATCGTATTAGCGGCTGGCGGTGGGCGTGGTCTATCGATAACACCAGTGTCCCCCTTCAAATTTTTCCTCCCCACGAACTGGATTGAAAGTGCGAAAGACAGAGAAGGCGAGCAGAGGAGGCTGAGAAAGAAAGAGAAGGCCATAGTCGCTGGGCGAGTGATGGAGTTTTCCTAACTAACGGTCTCCAACGCTTATTTTCTTTTCTTTTTTGTTTTTGTTTTTGTTTTGCATCTTCCACTAGTTTTTTCGCCCGCTTGGCAGTTGTCAAGCTGTCACAGTTTCGATCATTAAATGCGATATCTGCTGATAGCCATAAGGCATTTTACGATATTACTAACATTGTTAGCTGGCGCCCCCTGGCGCGAAAGAGAGACAAACATGGGGATGCACTTAAAGAAAATGGTATTTACTTGAAGTGCAGATCATAAGCCTTTTGTATTTCATATACAATGAGAGGTGTTAACAAAAAAGTGCTCCTTGAAAGCTTTTCTTCAACATTTTCTTATAAATTATATATGAAATGGATTATAAAGAATATAATTTATATATTTTCAAAATATTGTACATTTCTTATTATCTATATAAATCCGATTAGAATATCAAGGATATATCAATAAAACAAAAATTAAATTGATTTTCAAAGAATTCATTCTTTAAAATATCAAATTGATTGCTCCCTTTCGATCTCTTTAAAAATTTCTTCGAGTGCAGCTATGTGCGGGATTAATGTATCATAAATAGCTTAGTTTCTGGAAATTACACTCGTGCTGCCACCGCACCGCTAATCGCTAAGTATAAATTATAATTAGCCATCTTTATGCCCAAGATCTACAAAATTGAATAGTTGCAGTCGCCGGCAAAGTATCACCTGATGGCCAAGACTAGTCATCGTTGATAGTACACCGGATCATAAATCGGTCCATGAATATTCAGAACCCCGGGCTCTTAAAGCGGGACTTCATAGTTACCCTTTGGTGTACCATAAATAGATATTTGAATTTAATGATGGAATTAGCATACGCCGGTTTATGTATCGCCAATAGAATATGATGGTAAAGATGTTATGATGCAAAGTTATTGAAAAATGATGAATGATGCAAGTCTTCTTAAGTACCTAAATATGGAATTTAGTTATTTTATACTCTACAGTGTAATAATCAGAAGCAATATTAAAAGAATCATTTCAAACTGGAATTCAAATAAAGTTTATATTCTCCTCTTTAGTACAGTTTAATGGTTACATTTACATGAAATTGGCCTTTCAGTGAATATAACTTTTACGAAGTAATTTTCTAATTAATCTTTACATAATGACTCAAGTTTATAAATTCGTAATATATTCTTGAGCCTCAATTATAATTTATGTATTTACATTTCTATCTCTTCGAATTTGATTAAATTCTCCTAATGATCCTTTCTCATTCCCAGTATTTTTCTACATATTTAAAAATTGTATACATTTCCCACAGCAGGAAAACCTTCTCCTTTCCCAAAGGCTTTCTTTAATGAAATATTTTGCAGATGCAAGTATTTTCTTTGCCATTTAAAACTGGGCGTGTAGCCGGCTTAGATCATGGCTCAATACGATTTCTATACTAATTTTCCCACTTTTCCCTGCTTTCTCTTTGCGCATCGTCTTATCCCATTTTGACTTTCTGCCGGAAAATGTCACAGAAGTTAATCCAATTTACTGTTTTATGACGGGGCCCGAAAACACACAGAGGAAACCCGCAACTCGTTATCATCCCGTTTGCCTCTCTGTGGGAAGTAACGTCAACCCCTTCTGTCCTTTGGCCGGTGAACGCCTCCTTTAGTTGAGTTTTCCTTTGGCGGAAAACAGAAAAATGGAAAACGGGGTGTTCTAAACCCATTACAAGGGCCCTTACCAGAAGCAGTTCGCCGAGTTCTTGCTCTCTGCGGTTTTCCGACTTGCGGTTTCCCTTGCACCCGCACTCTCAGAGACAGATACTTTTCACAAATTTTCATGCTTTAATTTCGGTCCTCAGGCCTCTCGGCATTTGCATATGGTTAAAGGCAGAAGGAGAAGGAGAAGGAGAGGGAGACAAGCAAGGAAGTGCCTGCTAATCCTTGGTGAGCAACAGATTATCCCCGACAATTGTTTGTTCTTGATTTGTTTGTTATGGGTGTGCAGCCTGGACTAAGACCTCTTTCTCTGTTTTCCTTTTATTATGTTACACTTGAAATAAATTGATATCAGTAGGTTCTAGAAATGATTTTTAATTATATATATATGAATTATTTGAATATCTATGTTTTATAGGCAATATTAAGGAAAAATACTTGTAAGGTTATGCTACAAAATATTTCTGCATTAAAAAGTCCCCTTGAAGAATTTGTTTTCTAAAAAAATAAGTTCAATAACTTTGAAAAAGAATTTCAATATTAAAACAAGAAAGGAAACTTATAGTATCGAACCGAAAATCGATCATAACTAAGGTCAAAATAAATGTTATTTCTATATAACAATGTTTTCCTTAAATCAAAAATTTTTTTAATTATCATAACTAAGCCAAAAATGAATTGATTTTAATTCTGAAAACCACTCCTATGTCAGTTTTTGTAAGGTTAATAAATCTGCATACTATACTTAATATTCTAGAAAATTGAAATATTTGCCAATTTTTTAAATTTTAACGAATTTTAACCCATTAACATTTTTTGAAAATATTAAAAAAAAATTGAAAATCTCTTTTTCGACCGCACATGGCTAGATCGAGTCAGCTGTTGATGCTGACAAAGAATATATATGATTTATAGGACCGAAAATGACTCTTTTACAGACTTTTAAGCTTCTGACTAAAATGATAATACCCTGTCTAGAGCTATAAATTTCTGCAAGTGTAGTTTTTCACGAAATCGCTGCCTTACAATTGCAACAATTGCCGGCGGGAAAGGCTCAAGGGGTTTCCTCTATTCTTTTTTCTTTCGCTTTTCCGCTGCAGGACTCGCCCCTTTCTGGTTACACTTTAATGCGTTCTAATGTATGTGACTTTTGCGAGGATTTCCATCGTTTGCCATTTGCCGCCGTTTAGAC